GTGAAGAGTGGTTAAAAAGAGCAAATCTTTGCATCTTTACGCAAGGCAGGCAGTTCGAACATGAAATAAATGGCTAACCAAATGACTGTCTTTTTTCAAAACTTTTGCCATCATGTTTTGACCAATTTAAAATCCGATTGCACCATTGTGTTCAGCGTAAAAAATTCTTTAAAATGATGTGTCTGGATGTATAAGGATGTATTTGAAATTTTGAAGTTGAACTGGGCCTGAGGTACCCTGTGTAATTTTTCTCCAAAAAAGGTAAAAAATTGAAACTAGACTAAAATATATTAATCAAGCTTTTTTTTGTTTTTTCATAGCGTTATTCGTTCAAGAGAAATTCTAAAAACACACCCTGTACAGCTATAAAGAAATTACACCGTTCAATGAGATGGGACATTTAGCAATGATTCACTCATATACACGGGCATTTATTTGAATAGTAAATGCTCATGTGTCAACCTCCCACGGCCTATCCTTAATCGTTAGCTTTCTTTTTATAACGTGTTTTATTTTATATGATTATTCAGAAATCGTGAGATGCGGTCTGGTGTGATGTAGGTTTCAGAAAAACATTTTCTTTATCGTGCCAACGTTTCGATCTTTATTGAGATCATCTTCAGGGCTCAAAGTGTTTGTTTTTTGTGAGTGTGCCCTACATCACACCAGACCGCATCTTTCTGAATAATCATCGCCTAACGGTCACTAATCACCACACATTTATTTTATATTTTATTTTTGAAAATTAAAAAATATAAATGATTTCGTTATGTAATCTGGAAGATATCATTTTTAATTTTTTTTATTTGATCTTGTAAGCCGGTCCCCTTCTTAGGGTTAAGTTTTAGTTCTTAAAGTAAGAAAAAATTAGGGTAAACAATAATAGGGAACAAAGGTTGTAAATCTGAAGGGGCGATCACTTAGACGGTAACAATGTGATGTCCCCCTCAAATCTGGCAAACATAACTTTGAAATAATTACACCGTTGGACAGATAGATAAGAACGTCGAAGGGTGTCGCAGACCCAGGCTGGACCCACGTCATGTTTCCCACGAACCTGGAGAATATCAAGTTGCAATAGTTGGACAACCGATCAAATAAATAACTATCGTCTAGTTATTTAGTTCTGAAGGGTTGTCACATGGTCAAAAATGTGTAGGGACATCGTAAATTGGGGTCGCGTCAACCATGTGCGCGACACCCGTCTACGCCGGTTCACCTCCGAACTCCCCCGACACAAGAATTGATGTATATCCGATAGGACTTGGAGAAGACTCATCTTCGTTTAGATCGTATTGAGACGGAAGTTTCTGCCTTATCATTGTTTCTCAATGCTACCCTCTCCTTGTCGACTAATTTACGCAACCTAGAGATCTCAGCCCTTAAGGCTGCGTTAGAATTAAAGAACCTGTACCGGGGGATAGAGGCCGTTTCACAGGGGATGATAAGTCAGTCACTATTGTCTCCACGGGAATTGAGTGAAATACTCAAGACCGTGGACTCTGCTCTACCTGTGGAGTTGAATTTGTTGGCAGTAACCAGCCCAACGGACGGGAACCGATACTATCAGATGACGGAAGCACACGGCGTGGCCACCGAGGGAGCTCTACACATTTTCTTGGGTCTTCCCTTGCAGGGGCCAGACCAGAGGTTTGAGTTTTATTCCGTGGAGTTACTGCCAGTGCAGGAAGAGATTTTGAAGAAGCCTGTCAACCTAGAGAACTACGCCGTTTACTTCCTGATATCGAAGGATCGAGAGTATTATGCCAAATTGGACGAACGGGACGTGAGGAGGTGCAGACTGGCGCAAATATGGGTATGTCCGGAAGAATTTCCAGTAATTCGTCGGCGTCAGCCGGCCTGTTTCAGTGCCATATTCTTGCAAGAACATAGCGGAGTGGCGGAAAAATGCAAGTGAAAGCTGCTGAACCCTCAGTACCACCTGGCTTGGATTTGGGATGCAGAACGCAGCACATGGATCTATAGTCTGCCGGAACCCACGGTGCAGTGCCGAAAGAAGGGAGTGACCGAAATAACCTTGCAAAGTGCAGGGGAACTAAAAGGGGCCACGGGGTGTGCGATGCGAACCCCAGACTATTACTTCCTACCGATGTCGGAAGGAAACAAGGAAATGACATGAAAGCGGAGAATTACTGTTCTTCCCCTCAGCCGAATACCAGAGCGGAACAGAGTATTTCACCGGTACGACGTAGAATCAGCCCTCATCGAATTATAAAAAGTTGGGAAGGTTGATTCCAGCCGATGGAGTACTACCGAAGTACGTGCTTTAGCAAAATCATTGAACCAGCAGGCAGAAGCACGGTTCTTGAAGCGAACAGCCACTTGGGGCGGAGCCAGTATCGCCATCGCCTCTCTAATCGTAATTGGAGCCGCAGCAGGAATTCGGTATTCGACCAGCCGTACCCACAATAAAGACGAAGGGTGTCGCAGACCCAGGCTGGAACCACGTCATGTTTCCCACGAACCTGGGGAATATAAAGTTGCAATAGTTGGACAATCGATCAAATAAATAACTATCGTCTAGTTATTTTGCTGAAGGATTGTCACAATGTCAAAAATATGTAGCGACGTGGGACACCGTAAATTGGGGTCTCGTCAACCATGTGCGCGCACGTTGACCGCGGCGTGGGAACCCCCGCATTTTGATTTTCTTTTCCACCCCTACTCCGGTAGAGAAACTGGTATAAAAGGGATGATGGGAAAACAAGTCAGTCAAAACCGAAGACTCGACCCAGTCTGTCAAAACGCATCGCGAGCGTAGCTTTCTGTTTCTTCTCCCCCCATATTTTTCGCTCTTTTCATTTCTTCTCCGTAACACTTAAGTGACGGGACCTAAAGTTCGGCTTGCATAAAAACCATCTCCGTAATATAAAAATGTAAATGATTTCAAATAAATATGAAAATTAAAGGTTTATTCTTCCTTTTTACATCTAAACTAAATGTGAATATTATGAAATTCGTTTAAAATTGCATACTTAAATATTTATGTTTTTTATTTTCATATTTGATTTTTTTTAAAAGGACGTGACGTATTTTATTTTATACTTTTACTTCGGAAAAGTGAAAAATATAGATGATTTCAAATAAGTTTAAAGATAAAAGTTTAAAAAATTTTATTTGATCTATTTTTCACATTTTTGAAACACCTAGTACAATAACACGTGTATAATTCCTTAATCATTTTTTTAAAAGGTGTTTTTATTTTATAGAATTTGTTTTGATTGCAAATACGTTTGAAGATAAAAGTTTAAAATTGTTTATCTAATCTATTTTTCACATTTTTGAAACACCTGGTATAATTACACATGCATAATTCCTTAATCATTTTTTTTTAAATGCGTTTTTCTTTTATAGAATTTGTTTATCGCTAGAAATAAAGATTTTTAGTTACGAAAATTTAAAAATTTAAATTATGTCAAATAAATTGGAAAATTAAAGATTGATTCTTCCTTTTTACATCTAAACTAAAATGTGTATATTGCAAAATTCGTTAAAAAAAATACATACTTGAATATTTTTTATTTTACATATTTTGTTATTTACTTGATTTAAAAAAATGTAAATATTTTATTTCATATTAATAAATCCGGTCCCTAATTATAGCATTATTTAATATAAGGAAAAAACTAAACTTTAAAAATCAATACATCGCACAATTATACAATAAATAAATAAATAATAAAAAAGGGAAACGGCATTCAATGTCAACGTATCAATTATAATTGAGTGCCGTATGACATCGCGAGCGTGAATAGTGCGCAGGACCGCGAAGTTCTATTACCCCACGAGAGACGAAATAAAAGAATAGAGATTTACTGGTTAATATACCAAGGTCGAAATCCTTTTGTGTGCGTGAAAAAGAAAGGCGAAGTGGGGAAAAAGAGAAAGAGAGAAAAAAAAGAGGACCGTTATGGAGATCGCCAAAGTATCAATGAGGTCACAATACGCAGACGGGACCAGTATCGTAATAAATCAGGCCGAATGACTCATTTCTCATTTACGACGATGCGCAGAACTTCCGTGGCCTTCCGTGAAATCCAACTAACCTCAAATCTCTAAATAAACTCTTCTTCCGACGTCTATTATTTTATTATAATTCCAAAAAACTATTTTTATTACAGTTTACCTTATGTTTTGAACAAACAAAAACAAAAGCACTTTAAGTATTTTCTCTGATTGTTTGTCCGAATCGAGAAGGCCGTAGGTTAAGTACTTGGTAATTTAGTGCCAGGAAAGTGGAATAATTTACATTTTCTCCCACCCTTTACTGGATCTACACCAATGAAAAGTTTCCACTTGGCACGTATCGATAGATCGATACGATCGCAAAACCGGTTCCGGCCCCCAAAAAAATACCCTTGTGACACAGGCTAAACAATTAAAGAGCAAAATACAAAAAAAAATTACGACGAAAGGTACGAGCGATGAAAAAGGGCGAGGTTGGAACGATATTACGCGCTTATCGAAATGTAAAAGGAACGTGTTATGCGATACATCTTATCGTATTTAACTCATTATTATTGGATGTGTTAAGAGAGGGGGGATAGCCTTTAACACAAAAGCATAAGGCCCATTGTTAGAAGGCCTTGAAGAGTGGGGGGTTCAACGCTTAGCTTATTGCGTACAGTTAGGTTACTTTACAAATAGACCTCATAGGTTATAAAACTTAAAGTCTTAATTATAGAAGCTTAAATTGTCAGATATTACTCGAGACAGATCCTGACATATTCGAAAAGTTTAGTTTTACAAGAAAATCACTCTCAAGATGTGTTTTAGATACTGAAAAGACGATTTATAAACAGTTTATAAGGTGCTCCATTTTAGAATTGTACGGACTGTACGGCGAGACCTTGGGAACTCGATCCTAGCCTCGCAGCAAGGTCCTAATGACGTCATTATTTATGACGGCGCCTTTTTTTGTCGTGCGGCAACACGGCTCGCTATTGGTTGATCCCGGTGCTCGGGTACACAGTCGGCCATCTTGGGTCACGTGACACTCAAGCTACGGGAATTCGACGTCGAGGCCCTTGAGCGAGGCTAGCGCGAACGGAGCTTTCAAAATCGAACTAGCCTCAGAAATAGCTTTGTACAGGACCTAAGTCATATTCGTGTCTGTCTGGCCGTCTCGCCTGTGCGATGAGACTGTGTCGAGTAGCGTTTTCAGACAGCCGTTGAAAAAGTGGAATTCGCATTTCGGTACCCTCGAGGACGATGAACCGAAAAGTGATCGAACTCAAAGTGTGAATGGAAGATTTCAGTGAAACTTATGGCAGAAACAACGTAAATAATGGCGTTGCCAGCGGTTGCCGCCTTAAAGAGCAGTACCAAAACTGCCGAAAAGACTCAAGGTACTTATTCATTTTTCACTTCCTCCGGGTCGCCGGCCGACCGTTTAGATTAGATTGGAATTTAAGCGGGCCAGGGGCGCCCCCGTGGCGATTAATTAGTTTTTACAGACAGACCCATCCGATGTACGCGATATCAGGTTATTCGACCTGTCCTGGATCACCCCCCTACCTTGACAGATCCGTACCGATTCCAGACAGAACGTGTACGACTACAACAGAATGATTAGAAACAAAAAAACAACTCGCCTGTTAAGCGAAAACAACTTTATCCCACATTCCCACCCCATATTGTTTATATTCAAATCGCTTCGATTTTGTATCGTTTAAAACAATCCCGTTTGTTTACTAGAGTGTAATTACCGGTTTCCTTCAGCGTCTTTTACATTTACTATTACTTTTACTTGTACATTTTGGGCAACTTACAATATTTAAATATTTTTTCCCTTGCCTCTAATCCGGGCGTCCTATTGATAATATTTTTCGACCGTAATTCGTTTTGATGTTATTAACAAATAAGATAACACCATCAAGTACCTTTCGTTAATTTATGTTTGTTGTGAACTTCTAAAAAATGCGTTAAAGAAAACGGAAGTATTTTTAATATTTTTTTTCCTATTTATTAAAGTAACGTTTTAAGGATTCCACTTTCATCTGGAACTTAATTTCCGAAGAGGCTTATTTTTTATTATACTTTTTCATTCCTCCATTTTAGAACTGTAACTTAATTTTTTGGTGAGTCTTATCTATCCCTTGCTTCATTTTAGACTTTAATTATAAAGTTTGGTCGATTTAATAAGTTATATTTAAATCAGTCTTGCAATAAAGTGCAGTTTTTGTATTATAATTATCAAAGTTTCTTTTGATTAAAGCATGTCAATGTGTCTGTATTAGAAGCCTAGTCCTAGGTGCAGAAAGAACGATGAGAACTCAACGGGAACTTAATAGAGAGGCTTATTTTATTTTTACTTTTTTTCATCTTATACTTTCATTACAAATTTTGGTTATTTGATGTCCATACACCGTTCATATGTACCTGTAATAGTAGTTTTATGTGCAAGAGACGTGGTAACTCAAATGGAACTTAATTTTTGATAAAGTGTTTTTACCCCTTCTTTCATCTAAATTTTGATTAGAAAATTTTGCTGTATTTGATAAGTCTTAACACCTTGTCTTAATATAAAGTGCACTCGACACCATTAGGAGGTCACTACTTCATTTGTTTATTAAACAACACTTATACGTACCTTTATTGTAATTGTAGTTTTATACGCAGTAGAAGAGGTGAGAACACAACTGGAACTTAATTTCTGATAGTGTTTTCCCCCTTCTTTCATATCAGATTTTGACTACAAATTTTGCTGAATTTGATAAGTCTTAACGCCTTGTCTTTTATAATTAAGTCTTGATCGACACCATTAGGAGTTAGATACTTCATTCGCTTATGCATCTCTGTACTTACTTTTATTGTAATTATAGTTTTATGTGCAGTAGGGGACATGGGAACTCAACTGGAACTTATTTCTGATATTGTTTTCCTCCTTTCTTTCATCTCAGATTTTGACTTCAAATTTTGCTGTATTTGGTATTAATGATTACCTTTATTATTAAAATTTTAGTTTTATGTTCACGAGGGGAGGTTCAGAACTCAAGATCCCAACTGGTATTTAATTTATTATTTAGCGGTTATTTTTTGTTTTTTGTCTTTCATCTTAGACTTTTTAAAAATTTTCCTTTATTTGGTTGTTGTTTAAATAAATAAGTCTTGATAACAACAATAGAAGTTACAATTCGTTTATTAAACAAGTTACGCTTACCTTTATTGGAATTGTAGTTTTATGTGCAGGAGGGGGTAGTTGGAACTCAACTGTAACTTAATTTCTGATAAAGCGCCTTATTTCCCCCCTTATTTTATCTTAGACTTTGATTACAAACTTTGCTTTATTTGATAATTCTTAATACCTTGTTTATAAATAGGTCTTGATAATAATAACAACAACATAAGTTTCCATAATTCATTTGTTTATTAAATAACACTTATATGTAAGTTTATTGGAATTGTAGTTTTATGTGTAAGAGGGATGTCAGAACTCAACTGGAGCTTAATTTCTGATAAAAGGCTTTATTTTTCCTCTTTCTTTCATCTTAGGCTTTGTTTACAAATTTTGTGTTTATTTGATAAGTGCCTTTTTTCAAGAAAATAAATAAAGTGCACTCAACAACAATAGAAGTTTCAATGCTTTTTTTTATTTTTTATTTTTTTAAATTTTTTTAATATTTTTTTAAAGATAGTTCCTACTCCAGTAAGTTGTTTTGCAACAATCAAGATTTCGAGCCCTCAGCTCATCATCAGGTTCTAGAAGTGTGGAAGAGTGTACAACTCCTTCAACCTGATAATGAGCTAAGGGCTCGAAATCCGGATCATTGCAAAACAACTTACTGATTAGGAACTACCTTTTAAAAAGGATTGAACACTGCACTCACTCCACCATTCATCATTTCTACCAACATAAGTGTTGTTGGAATTTTAGTTTTATGTAGAGAAGGGGAGGTGGGAACTAAACTGGAACTTAATTTAAGATTTTTTACTGCTGGGGAAAAGGGAAAATGAGAACAGAATACAATGTTTAATAACAGTATTAGAATTTGCATGTTTCTTTTTAAAAATATAACAACAATTGTAATGCAAAACTTTATAATACTCTAGTTCTAGGTGCATAAAGGATGGAACACAGTTGGGACTTAACTGGTGATAATGAAGGCTCAGTTTTTTGTTTTATTTAGTCTTAACTTTGCATTTTAAAAAAGTTCTTGTTGGGACCAAACCAGCAGATTAGGCAGAACAGGCGAGGTTGATCGGAACGATGAAATTGTAATAAATAGATCTTAATACTAATTCTTAAACGGATTACTATATTAATTCTACTGTATTTTTGTTTAAATTGATCTTAATACTAAGAAATTATAATAAATAGATCACCTTATACTTCCAGTATTTTGATTTTTCTACAAATTTTTAAACATTATTTAACAGTGGTAAATAGATAAAACAATGTTAACTCAGAGGAGATTCAGCTGTGAAAACTAAACCGTCTTTTTGTTAGTGAAAGTTTTTTATTTGATTTGTTTTCAGTGTTTGATTTTAGAAATATTGGTTCCATTCAGTAAATTTTATTGTTTCATAGGAAATAAATGTAAAAAGAACAATGATTAGTTGATGATAAATTAATAACATTCTATAAATCAAGGATTTTACATACATTCATGGCTATAACTTACAATTTATTAAATTTTATAAACAATGGTCAGTTAGAAGACTATTGTGTTCAATCCATTGTACATAGTTTATGTCAAAAACAAACAATACTTTCACCGAGACAGACTTCAATTCAGTTAATAAAGCAATTACATTTTTATGTTGTGAGTGTTACAACAGTTCGGTCATTACCGGGACAGTATTCTAACAAAATTTTATATAATTTCTATCATCGCTGTTTTGGTCCGCCAGATGCGTTTTGATTTTTCGCTAACTTCTACAGCTAGCATATCAAAATAACAGACCAAAACAGTGAGGATAGGCAAACCAAATTAATTCGTAATGAGCAAATTAATTCATAATCTCTACAGACCTCTTGGAGAAATCTTACAATTATAACCAGTTTGTAAGGCAAAGTTAAAATTAAATTATTGAAACAAAATGGTAATAAATGTTTATATTGTAAATTTTTTTTTTTTTTTTTTTTGGTGTGACGTAGGTTTAGAAACACATTTTCTTTATCTTGCCAACGTTTCAATTTTTATTGAGATCATCATCAGGACTCAAAGTGTTTGTTTTCTGTGTTCAATAATGACACCTCTGTACAGAAAATAAACACTGAGCTCTGATGATGATCTCAATAAAAATCAAAATGTTAGCACCATAAAGAAAATAATTAGTAATTGTTTTTGTTTACGGAGGCTTTGTTTCACTTTCACTATTGGTCGTGCCTGTATTTAGTCTATATATACCTTGAAGATGGGTCCATGAGAGCTGAAACTGTAGAAAATGTGTTTAAAAACAGTTAATAATTTAAGGTTCTCAAATGATAAAATAACACAGGCAGACAGGATGATCAGAGGTGATAGAACAGTTATTTCTATCAACAAATATATCCAATTTAAACTAGAATTTTGTTTTTTGTTACTGATACTACACACTATCTTATAAATTGATTATTTAAACAATTTGATCTATTTTTTTAATGAACACTAAAAAACCAAAAAATAGATATAATTTGTATTAAATACAGTTATTTAGAGATCATGAGATGCGGTTTGGTGTGGGTTTAGAAAAACATTTTCTTTAACTGCCATTTCCATTTCTATTGAGATCATCTTCAGGGTCGGGGATTTATAAACATTGTTTAAAATATACAAACTCATATCAGATATTAATCTGAATTTATACAATGATGTACACAATATAGAAATTTTAGGTTTAATCAAACTATTTGTACTCACTCAAGGTGTTACACAGAAAACACAATCTTTGAGTGAGTACAAATACTTTGATTAAACCTGAAATTTCTATATTGTGTACATCATTGTATAAATTCATATTGATATCTAATGCGTATTTCTATAATTTAAACAACCCAAGGCCCTGAAGATGATCTCAATAAAGATCGAAACGTTGCACGTTAAAGAAAATGTTTTTCTGAACACACATCACACCAGACCACATCTCACCATCTCTAAATAATCATTAACTAACGGTCACTAAACACCACACATTAAATACATTGGGGAAAGATAACATTAAGTGTAATATATATATAAATATATATTTGTTTTTAATCCTTGAGCTACATTGACACAATAAATAAACCTGGGAACATTTAAAACATCAATGATTAATTAATCAATTATATATGTTCCAAGCAACTTTGGCTTACTACATACATTACTTGAAAAATATAATGAACCTAATTGGGACCTCAGTGGCCAAGTGGTTAGATATCTGA